AATCAATAAAAGACCGATCTTGGGAAAGTCCCCAAATATTTGGGAACAGAAAATGCACACTTTTAGATAACCCACGAACAATTGATGAAACCAAAAGGGGAATTAGAAGGTCTTCTGAGCTAAACAAACACGAAAAGACAACATATCAAAGTTGAGGGGATGCTGCTAAAAAGTAGTTCAGGGAGGGGAACTTCCAGGGCCACCAGAAGCCAGGACCCCAGCACCCCTGCACCCCAGAACCCCAGCACCCACACGACATGACCAAGACTTGGACTTAGCCTTGGAATTAATCCTCTTGGTAGAGCTGAGGGCACCGGTGTTTCCTAAGGACCTCCTGCAGTTCTAAGAGTGCCCAGTGGAAAATTACCGACTCAAAGACAGAGGAAAAGGAGTCAATTTTAAAGGAAGAAAAAAAGTCAAAAAGGGACAGCTAAACTTCACATGACCAGCTGCGGAGGGTCACGGGTCTGCCCGGAGCAAGTTCTTCTGTGAAAAGTGGTCCCACCCCCTCAAGTGTTCAACTTCACCAAATCAGACTAAACTGGCTTCAGTTCCAAAACCACACCTCTGCTGACATCAGCACATCTCTAACCAAAGGGCACTTCCTACTGAAAATGTCAAGCACAAGTTTTTAAAGTGTTGCAATCGAGAGCAAAACGAGTCCGTAGGTTCCATTTCTTCACAAGAGCTAAAGAGACGGGAGAAAAGGTTCAAACAGTAAGACACGGTGGAAAGATCTTTCCACCATCCACATAGTTTCTAAGGACAAATTTAATCAAAATAAATTCGGTTCCCTCATTTTAAAATTTAAAATCCAAAGCATGAGGATAAGGAAATCTATTTCCAAGTTCACCGGATGGCTTAACTTTGTGGTCCTGGATTCCACATTTGAGGGAACTTAACGGCATTATCCACATCGTGGGGCAGAGAGGGTTGGAGGAAAGTTGAAAGGGATGATCAGCATTCCTGGCGCATTCCAGAGGACCAGGCCTGGCACCAAATCCACGCCAAACGACACAATCTCACCTCCACTTCCTGGTAAAGACTGTCTCCTCCCGGTGCCTCGCCCCGGGAGGTACCACCTTCCTCCCCGCACCTGGCACTTGGAGCTGGCTCGCACGTCCTTATCCTGGGACATCTGTGGGCTCCATGAGCAGGCGCTGCATGGCCCCAGCACAGATGGGAATCCCTAGTCCAGGGTGTGGCCCTGGCCAGCCTCTCCCAGCTTCTGGAATGTTCCTCTGCCCCCGCCTCTCGGCCCGAGAACCACTCTGCCTCCTTTGCCTGGTTCTCTGGCGCTGCCACAACTCCATGAGCTCCTGATGTGAGTCCGGCCTCACTGGAGGCAGCTGGAGCCGAGGCCACGGCGCACATGCAGGATGCAG